GGAGAGGGCAGGTTTCCAGTCATAGGAATTTAACAGTTCATAATGGTGGTGCTTCTCCAAGATGGAGTCCTCCTGCTTCTTTCCCCACTTCTTTTGGAGGCACTCCTCGAAGATGGAGTTACTCCTCCAAGATGGAGTCATGCCTGCTTCATTCCCCACTTCTCTTTCATGGGGATGAAATAATTGACTCTTCAGCATCAGCCAGAGAGCAGGGTGATAGTCTCTTTTGGCAGGTAAACGTTTTACCAAATTTTAAGTCCAGTTTGACTAACTTGAGCTGATTCCATGGTTTCCAGTTGCTGGGCACAGTTGCTTATACACAGGAGTATCTGGTCAGATGGCTTAGGCCAATGGTCATGGTATGCAGCCATTGATTATATTAATTCTTCCAGTCCAGGAACATGGAATGTCCTTCCACTTGTTTGTGTCCTTTTCAATATCTTTTTGAGATTTTCGTAGTTTTCTTTGTAAAAGTGTTTGATTTCCTTAGTTAGGTTTATCCCTAGGTATCTTACATGTTTTGTGGCTATGGTGAAAGGGATTCTTTTCTTCACATCTACTTCGTTCAAGTTGTTTGTATATAGAAATGCTGTATAGAAATCGTGACACTTAACTGTATTCATTTATTACTTTGAGAAGTTTTTTTCATGGAAACCTTTGAGTCTTCTAAGTATACCATCATGTCATGTGCAGTTAAAGATATTTTCAATTCTTCTTTGAAGAATTTGAATGCCTTTTTGAATGCCTTTCATATTTTGCTTTCTGATTGCATTGGCTAAGACTTCCAGTACTATATTAAAAAGCAGTGGAGAAAGTGGGCAGCCTTGTCTAGTACCAGTTTTTAGTGGAAAAGCTTTTAGCTTTCCCCCGTTCACTATAATGTTAGCTATAGATTTTTCATATATGGCTTTATTGTGTTTAGAAATGACCCTTCTATACCAATCTTGCTGAGAGTCTTAATCCTGAAAGGATGTTGTATTTTATCAAATGCTTTCTCTGAATCAATTGCAATGATCATATGGTTTTTATCTTTTTTCTGTTAATATGGATTATTATATTTATGGTCTTCTGTATATTGAACCACCCTTTCATCCCTGGGATAAAGCCTACCTGGTTGTGATGAGTAACCTTTTGTAAATGTTGTTGGATGCGATTTGCAAGTATCTTGTTGAGAATTTTTGCATCTATATTCATCAGAGTCTGTAGTTTTTCTTTTTTGTTATGTCTTTATATGTTTTGGAAATGAGGATGATGGAGACTTCGTAAAATGTATGTGAAAGATTCCCTTCCTTTTGAATCTTTAGAAATAATTTGAATAGGATAGCGGTTAACTCTTCCTTAAAAGTTTTGTAGAATTCAGAAGTGAAGCCATCAGGACCAGGACTTTTCTTTGTCAGGAAGTTATTTATTACTGATTCAGTCTCATGGCTCGTTACGGGTTTATTCAGGTTTTATATGCCCTCCTGATTCAATCTTGGTAGATTATATACATCCAAGAATTTGTCCATCTCCTCCATGTTCTCGTTTTTGGCGTATAGTCGCTCATAGTATCCTCTAATGATGTTTTATATTTCTATTGTGTCTATCGTAATGTTGCCTGTTTCATCACGTATTTGATTTATCTCATTTCTTCTTTTTCATCAGTCTAGCAAGTGGTATGTCAGTTTTGTTAATTTTTTCAAAGAACCAGCTGTTGCTTTCATTTATTTTCCGCAGAGTTTATTTTCTATTTCATTTATTTCTGCTCAATTCTTTATTGTTTCTTTTTGCCTGGCATATTTTGCTTTTTTGTTGTTGTTGTTTTTACAATTCCCTGAGGCATGTTACGTTGTCTATTTGGTACCTTTCTATTTTTTTCTCATGTGCAATAATTGGTATGAATTTTTCTCTTGTGACTGCTTTTGCTGTGTCCCATAGATTATGGAAACTCATGTGTTTGTAATCATTTGTTTCCATAAATTTTTTGATTTCAGACTTAATTTCGTCGGTAGTTAAGAGGTCATTCAGAGTTAGGTTGTTTAGTTTCCATGTGTTTGTGTATTTTCGAGGGTGTTTCTTGGAATTAATATCAAGCTTAATTCCATCATGGGCTGAGAAGATGCTGGTTTAGTTTCTGTGACTTTGTATGTATAAAGGCTTGATTTGTGTCCTATATTATGGTCAATCTTTGAGAAGGTTCCATACCAGGGTAAGAAAAATGTATATTTTGTGGTCTTAGGGTGGAAAGTTATATAGATGTCTGTCAAGCCCATTTAATTTATAGTATCATTTAGGTCTTGTCTCTTTCTGCTGATTTTTGTCTAGAAGATATGTCTAAAGGAGATAATAAGGTGTTGAGATTCCCAACAATTATAGTGTTGGACCCTGTCTCTCCTTTCTCCTCTCTCCAGCAGTTGTTCCTTCACATATTTAGGTGCTCCTGAGTTGGATGCATAGAAATTTATAAGTGTTATGTCTCCTTGATGCATTAGCCCATTTACTATTATATAATGCCCTTCTTTGTCCCTTGTTACAGTCTTTGTCTTGCAGCCTATTTTATCTGAAATCAGTATCACAATTGCAGCCCTTTTTTAAAATTTCCATTTGCATGGAATATCTTTTTCCAGCCCTTTTAGTCTATATATGTCTTTATCTGTAAAGTGCATTTCTTGTAGGCAACAGATAGAGGGTTTCTGCATTTTTTCCCCCATTCAACCACTCTGTGTCTTTTGATCAGAGAATTTAATCCAATAATGTTCAATGTTATTATCCATATTTCTGGACATGTTCCTATCATTAAATGAGCCATTTTCTTGGTTATTTTTTGTTCTCTTATAACTGTCCTAACTTTTTAGTTTTCCTGATATAAGCACTCCCTTCAGAACCTCTTGAACAGCTGGTCTGGAGTTGGTAAATTCTTTCAGGTTTTGTTTTTTGAGATTGTTTTTATCTTTTTTTCCCATATGAAGGATAATGTTTCTGGGTAGAGTATTCTTGGTTGAAATTGTTTTTCATTTAACACTTTGCCTATATTTCTCCATTCTTCCCTTGCCTGTATTGTTCCCAATGAGAGGTCTGATGATAGCCTGATGGGATAATCTTCGTAAGTAACTTGATGTTTCCCTCTTGCCAATTTTAGTATCTTGCCTTAGTCTGTGGTTTTGGCCAATCTGGCTATGATGTGCCTTGGAAAGAATCTTCTTGGGTTGATTCTATTTGGGGTCCTATGTATTTCTTCTGTCTGGATATTTGAATGTCTCTCTAGGTTTGGAAAATTTTCTCCCAGGATTTCATAAAATAAATTATCAATTTTCTTCCTCTTCTGAGATACCAGTTATCTTGCTATTGAGGCCCTTGATGGTATCCAGTATTTCTTGTATTTTTTCCTCATTTTTCTTGATTGTTCCCTCAGTCTTTTTGATACGTTTTCTAGGTCAGAGGTTTTGTCTTCTACATTCAAGATTTGATCTTCTGTGTGATCTAATCAACTTTTAATAATCAGGTTTTAATTTCTTGTTTCACAATCTTAATCTCTAACAATTCTGTTTCTTTTTTTTTTTTTTTGGTGTCTATTTCTTCTTTCAGATTGTGAAAGGACTTCTTCATCTCCTGGAGCTCGTTATCTCTTTTCTCTTGTACCTCATTTAGTTTGGTCACTACAAATATTCTTAATTGCTTGTCTGGCATTTCCATGATTTCCATTGTGTTGTCTGTGAGTGATGCAGGATTGACATTTTCCCTTGGGGGAGAGACGTTTTATTGGTTGCTCATATTTCTTGTGCCTCTATCATTGTTCCTAGTCATCTGGTGATCTATATGTTCCTTCCTAGATTATTCAAGGTGTCTTCAAGCATTCAAAGGTGTTTAGGAGTAAAAAATTGGTGGCTATCACTCTTCTGCTCTGCCTCCCTGTTGCTCACCAGCACCCTACATTATTGTCACTGATCCTGGGTGACCCAAAGTTCTTCCTATTTCTAAAGAACAGAAGCACCTGAAACTGAACTGCTGAACTTCAACTCAGGAGCAAGGAAAAGTTAGTGCTGAGCACTGTCCAAAACAATGACATCTTGAGAGTTCAAAGGCAAGTGAGGGAGGGGATGAGGCAAGGGTCTTGGCCATTAGGTCCTGCAGCCACAGGCAGCCTGATGTCTAGCAAGACCCTTCACTTGAACTGGTATCCAGATGTGGTGGGGAGGGGTGCAAGTTTGACACTGTGAGTCTTCAAAGCTTCTGATTAGCTGTAGGAATTTGAAATGCAAGACAGAATTTTGAAGAAAAACGTCATGCTTGGATAAACCTTACTGAACAGCAAGTGTCCTTGGTGCTGCCTACCAGCACCTGTCTCCTGTCTGTTTACTGTCACATGGCAAGAGCCAACAGTCATTCAGTGTTCCCTGTAACTGTTCCCAGTCAGTTGTCACAGAAGGAGTTTTGACATGACAGTTTCAGAAAGAACACGCTTTAGAAATAGAAGCCAGGTGTCAGCTTTGCTTCCCATGAGCATGCCCTGTGCTGCTACTGAGCCTGGCTCTGTCTCAGGCTGCACAGGTGGCCCTAACAAAACACCACAGACTTGGTGGCTGAAACAACAGGAACTGATTCTCACAGTTCTGGAAATTGGAAGTATGAGATCAAAGCACTAGCAGGGTTGGTGTCTGGTGAGGGCTTATTCCTTGGGTTGCAGATGGCTTGGCCACCTCCTTTGTCCTCACATGGTAGAAAGAACAACCTGTGATCTTGTTCTCTTCTTATAGGAGCACTAATCCCACTATAGGGACTCTACCATCAAGATCTCATCTTACTGTAGTTACCTCCCTAAGATCCCTCCTCCTAGTACCATCACATTGGAGGAAAGGGCCTCAGCATAGGAAATTTAGGGGGACATTCAGTCCACAACAGGCACTGTTGCTTTTTCCACAGTCTCCCACCTTGCTCTTCCTTGGTTCTTACCATCTTCTGGAGAAGATCATGAAGTGTTCTCTAGTTGCCATACTAATGGAAAAATGTATCTTCTCCTCCAGGAACTCTCCTGATGAATGCAGTGTGACAAAAGGCGGGAAGATGGTGGGCAGCCCAGACACCGTCGGGATAAACTATGGCAGCTACGTGGAGGAGAAGCACATGCCCCCCCCAAACATGACCACGAACGAGCGCAGAGTTATCGTTCCAGCAGGTGAGATGTTCACAAGTGCCATTCTGCTCATTGGCAAACTGTGCCTTCCCTGGAGGATGCGCTGAGCATTGCCGACTTTTTCTCCTCTTACCTGTGGCATGGGTCATACCTTGGTTGTCCAGAGCAGAGGCTGTAACTGGAAGCCAACAGAAGTCTGTTCTTGTATGGTGACATGTTCACTGACCTTCAGAAAAATGAGAAAAATAAGGGCAAAAGCACACTCGCACTCACACATACACATGCACATGTATTTGATTTTAAAAACATTTCAAAGAACAATATATGACTCCTAACTTTTTCTTTTGTTGGATAACAACACACACACACACACACACACACACACTACACAGAGAGAGAGAGAACATCCAAGTAAACATACACACATGTTCATGCACACAAACTTATGCACATGTGTGTGTGTGTGTGTGTGTGTGTGTATGTGTGTTTATGTTAATTTCTAGGAAGGAATTGCCCCTTCTCTGAGATTATTTCATGTCAAATGCCCTGTTTTTTATAAAGCACTATTTTGAATAGATGATAGGCTTAATTGTTTCAAAATTTTATCTGGTAAAATAAAAACATAAGAGCCATATATTTCTCTCTAAGATGTTTTTTAAAAAGAATTATTTATGTAATTTCATTAATTATTATTATTATTTATTTGCTATAGGGAATGTGCACTCAGGAGAGAGACAAAGTGAGAAAGCAAGCCACCAGGTCCAGGACTCAAACTGCATTAGGCCAGATTATTTTTTTTAATTTTGATTTGTTTATTTTACATTCATTCACTGTACATCATCACAGCATACAAAATGAGATTTCCTATCCAGAATACACTATATATTGTATTACATGTATAATATTACTATACATGTTATTATCAACAAATGACTTTTCCTTTCTTGTTTCTTATATATTTTGCATTTTACCCCCCTTGAGTCCCTACTTCTCACCCTCTGCCATTTCCCACCATCCTCCCACACTATGTCTGGTATCTACAGTCTCAGATGTTTTTAAAAATCTAAAATGCCAGCTGTTACTAGTTTGTAATACAGATTTTAATAATCAGGGTAATTTTTTTAACTGCAGAAGTAATTCAAACCCAACCAAAAGAAATCACTCTTTAGAATTTGAGGGAAATGCCAAGAACTTATTTATTTAGAAAAACTAAAGGTAATAGAAAGAATGATTTAAAGCTCCTCAGAGGATATTTGCTGCATTAAACTAGAAATATAGGACCAGATGGTGGTGTGGTGATTAAGGTGAAGTTCACATAGCTGACTGAATGGTTCGAGTCCTAGATTTGACAGTTTGAAAAACATGCCAAGCACATGTATGAGCATGCTTAAAATTCTGAGAAGAGATTGTGGCATGGCCACACTCTGTGGGGAGTACTTTCCCACTTTCCCTCTTCTGTGTCTCTTCAGCCCGTGCTTGTACCTTATAGCAAAAGTAAAAACAAGAACAACTAAAACAAAGAAAAAAGTACTTCAGAAATAACTAGAAATATAACAGCAACAATGGCAGCTACTCAGCAAACCCTACTTATTATATATTTTGGTTAATAATCTAGAAGCATTATATCATGCAATCTTGGGAAATAAGTATCTTTATTATAACTCCCTTGATGGGGAAAGTGAAGCTCAGAGGTCAATGAACTTTTCTAAGGGTGTACAGCTAGTAAGAGGCCACGCTAGCATTCAAGCAGGTCTGTCTTACCCTTTGACTCCTTTGGTGTTGGAATAAATCTCAGCTGCTTATAGTGTTGTTCGTGGATTCTCTCCTCTCACTCATTCTAGCCATCTGGTCACTTTATGGTTCTACCTCTGAGACTTGAATTTGTTGTTACCTCAGCCTGACACTCTTGATTCTAGGCAGTTCCATAACTCTGTCCTTCATCAAGGCTCTGTTCAAATGTCACCTCCTCAGAGAGGTGTTTCTTGACCACCCGTGTAGAGTTGCCCCAGTCCACCCTGTGATGTTCAGTCTTCTATCTACCTTATTTGTCTTTATTTTATTCACTCCCATCTGTCATTATAGTGTATATTTATGTAAAGGTTTTCTTATTATTTTCCTCCCACAATAGAATGTAAGCCCCACAGAGACCCCAGCTCCAGGGGCAAGCACAGTGGCTGGCATGTTGGCTGGCATGTGGAAGATGCTCAGTGCATATTAACTGAGGGGCGTGTGGGTGAAAGGATCCTCTTCTGGGCTGCACAGCATGAATTACTCCTCATTGTCCAAGAGTAAAAGGTGTGCATGGATGAAAGTGGCACCAACTTGATTCTCTTTGCTCCTGGATCACCTCAGTAAACCTATGTAAGGAGTGATGGTAAAAAGGTCCAAATCCTCTCCATAATATGAAGTTCTTCCTGATCCCACATATGACACATTCACTGGGCTTCTATCGCCTTCCACACAAGGAAGTGCAGCATATTTGGCAAAACATCTGGCCTGGATTTAAATATTATGTTTCATCTCCAGCTTGTCACAGTGTGACTTTTTTTCAAGCCACGTGAAGCTGATTTGATGTAGTTAGGTGTGAAAGGGATCGCCCTTTGGGATCGTTCATTATTTTGAGGCACGTTGTGAGACTTTTGTAGAAACAGTGATGATAAAGTCTCATGTACACATTTAAGGACAAAAATATTCTTAATATTTATCAAAGGGCATTGGCATGTATGCAAAAGCTGTGCATTTGGTGTGACTGAGCACCATGTGACTGAGCACGCCTTACTTACTCCTGTGCCTCAGAGCAGGGTGCAGTTCCTGCTGGGCGGGAAAAGTGGAAATGCAAATGTCCCCAGGTCCCATTCTCTATGTGCAGTGCCTAAAACATGCTTGAGGATAGGCATGTGTCTGGAGGAAAGATGGGGGAGCTAGGATGGGAGCTGTTGCCCCAGACACTGTACTTGAACAGGATGAAGGAGTAGTCCAAAGGAAGCCCACCCAAGTCCACCTCTCCCTTTGCCTTCCTCATTAATAATGTTACTTCTGGGACCAGCAATTGTCCTGGTTATGTTACTGGACTCCCACGTAGTTGAATGTGATTTGATTCCCAGACATAGCGGCTTAAAACTCATGCTGGGTATGTGTGTGTGTCCAAAATCCCTAGAGGAGAATGGAGAAGAGATTGTTGTATGGCCATTGCCCCTGGAGGGGGGGGTGATTTCTTGCTTTCTATCTCTCTGTCTTTTTCTCTCTCCAGCGAAAGCACATACCCTGTAGCAAAAATCTCTCTTAAAAAATATGTATTTTTTTTACATATTTTTGCATATTATTACAACGTTTTCAATTCTCTTGTTCTCTAAGATGAGAGAACCAACCTGAGAAGTCTGCACTGAGGGTCTTTTTCTGGTTTCTCATAGAATCAACATGCAGGCAGTGATGCCTGGTATCATCTTTAACTGGTGAGATTCCATTTCTGTGATGCCATCCGTATGGTGTAATGTCATCAGTATCCTTTTCTATGAGGCTGGGCTTGAGTCTTTCTGCATTAGTCATTTAGAAAGCAGGAGAGGTATCCATGTGGGGAAGAGACAAAGAACAAATTTTTTTGTTCAAGTTTACTTGTTTCCTCCATGAGCAAGAGAGAAAGAGAGAGATATACAAAGGTACCACCAACACAGTCTTTCATGCTACTATCCAGAGACAGCCCCAGAGCACAGGCATGTACACACCTGTGTGTTCAGGGAGGTCGCTGAATATGAACTTGGAACCTTCCCATGTGGAGGTCAGCCTTGCAGAGTGTTGCGTTAGTGCCATACCACTGTTAGCCCACAGCACTTCTTATGTATGATGGGTGCTCATTAAATGTTGGTTGGATGGAAAGATAGTTACTCAGATTGGCTCATACTGAATGTTGGGGTAGAAGGTTTTTTTTTTCCTCCTGGGGAAAGTACACTTTCAGCTGAACCCTCCTTTGGTTGCTTCATGCCAATGCAGGCAGTTATTCAGTTAATGGTGTTTGTAAGAGAGCTAGTTGTGGCTGATTTTGCAAGTTGTGAGCTCTTTCAGTTATTGGTCAAGCTTCATGTGCATGTGCTTATACACATACACACACACACAGATGAATACACACACACACACACACAGCTTCATTACACAACCTGGACAATTCTCCAGTGTGGCCATGAGTTTGCAGGACCTTGATTGGCTGCTGCATCTGCCCCTTTAGCCCTACCTCTAGAATCTAGGCACCTCGCTCAAGCATATTTTAGGCTTGGTATACTCCATGTACACAGATAAAATATTCCAGACCTGGTTCCAACTGGTTGCTACACTAGTTAAACATATCACTTGACATCCATAAAGATAGCTAAAAAAAAAAAAAGAATGAAATCATTTATTATCCCTAAGCAATTGTACCATCCCTCAGCTATATACTATTACTACTATTACTGTCTGAGACATAATAATCTTACTACACGCTGATAGGAAAATTGATGTGTAGACTGAGAGGTGAAACCACAGAGGACTTGGGGTATTGTCTATGTTCAGATAGGGTTCTTGGAACTCAGTTGTGACAAGTGATTAAGTCAACCCTGGTCTTGAAACTATCTTTAGTTAACTAAAGAGCTACAAAGAAACCTATAAAAGATCCCTAATGAACAAATGTATACCTTCATTTGCTATATTTACACTGCCTCTTATTTCTTAATGAATTCAAGAAAGCTCATATAGATAAACACAATAGAATAAGATAGCATCAATTTAAAAATAGAAGGCTCATAAGGAGCACAGACTGAAGTGAGAATACAACTGAAAAACTGAAGCAGGAGTGTGTATAATATATACTATAATATGGTGGGTCTTCAAAAAGTTCACAGAAAATGCATGTGATAAAATACTCTGCAAGGATTTCCATTCTTTTGAGTTCAAAGTAAACTTGGACTTTAATTCTATTTTTCCCATGAACTTATTGAATTCTTTTACAGTACTATATAACACATATAATTTATATTATACTACATAGTATATGCATTTATTTAAATGGAAAA